CGCCAGTGTTCAGAGTCCAACGCCGGTCGCCGCTGGTCGACCCGACGCAAGCCCACCGCATCGCCTGAGCAACCACAGTGGTGATTGCAGTGGCTACGGGTGCCCCCGACCAGCGGCCGGCGGCGCCTGCGGCGGCCTGGCGCCCGCCGGAGCGGGCCGCGACACCACGGGGTCGGACGGCTCGGCGCGCGCCTGCGCCCCGCCGGCGGCCGCCGGCGGCAGCCGCCGCCGCTGTCGGTCGCCGGCCGTTGGTCGCCCTCGTCGCCGCCGCCGCCAGCGTCGGTCGTGGGTCGCCGCGGATGGAGTCGCCGACGCCGCCGAGGGCGTCGGTCGTCGGCCATCGGTCGCCACCGCCGCCGATGGCGTCGGTCGTCGCCGTCGTGGCCGCCGCGGACGTCGCAGTCATCGTCGTCGCCCATTTTGGAATGAAGTTACTTCAGATGGGCTTGAAGGGACACACTTGGCAACCTCTCTCGGTCGTCAGTCGTCGCCGTGGCCGTCGCCGTCCGCCGACGCCGTCGTCGTCGTCGTAACCGTCGCCGTCCGTCGCCGCTGGGCGTCGGTCCGAAGTCGCCGTGTCTGTCATCGTCGTCGGCGTCCTCGATCGAGGATTGGTGTTGGTTGCTGGGCCATCGCTTATCGTTGCTAACCGACGACTTGCGTGGCGACTGGGCAAGAACCGCTGTCGGAGGCGCCCCCGCTCCTCCGACCCCATCTCGACCATCTGAGAGGAGGTGGTCGAAAGTGAAATTTTTACCAGCGTGGACCCCGAACATAACGTTCTAGCATTCTAGGTGATGCAATGTGCGTGGTGCAACCTAGGTGGTGCAAACTAGTGGGTGGAAGCTACGTGGTGCAATCTAGGTGGTGCAAGCTACGCGGTGCAATCCAGGTGGAATGACATATGGGGTTTACGGGGTGTCGTGCCATACGTGTGTATATATACATGTATATGTATACGTATGTGGTAACAGCTAACGCACCGATCTGCGTGGTGTGATTTACGTGCTGTGTGCTAGGTGGTGCCGTCTACATGGTGCGATATATGGGAACTGAGCTACGTAACGCAAGTCTACGAGGTGCGACATAATGGTGCGATATGTGTTGCATAAGCTATGTGGCGCAGAGTATGCGGTGGAAGTAATGCGATGCGATACAAGGCAATGCAAAGCAATGCGACGCAAAGGAATGCCAAGAAATGCAAAGCAACGCACAGCAAAACGAAGCAATGTAACATGAAACAACGCAACTGCGAAACAATGCAATGTTGCGCAAGCGATGAACCGACACGGCCGTGGGAAGGTGCCCACAGAAGACCACTGGTAATGTGACCAAGCGATTTCTGTAATTACCACAAAAAACGACACGATAAAAAACAAAAAAACAAAAAAACGTTTTCCGGGGGGGGCGCGTAGGACACGATTAGGCGCCGCGACGCCGGACGCTTTGAGCCCAGGGCGGCGGCGAAGCGGGCGGCGGTGCCGGCGGGGGGGAGGAGGGGGAGAAGGGGAGAGAGCGGGGGAGGGGGAGGCCGGAGGTGGTTCCCCTCGCCGCCCCTCCTCCCCTTTCCTCCCCGCCTTCCCTCTCCCCCCTCCTCCCCTCTCCTCCCCGCCTTCCCTCTCCCCCTGACAGGCGGCATCAGGCAGCCCGCCGGTCCCGCGACCGCACACGCCTCCTCGGTCCAAGAAACGCACCCCTCACGCGGACCACGGGGTCTGAGCGAACAGGGGGTTGGGACGGGCAGTCACGACCCTCGCCCCCTTCTCGCTCTCAGGACTGGAGGGGAGGAGGGTCGTGACCTTCGCCCCCGCCCGTGGGAGCCCCCATTCGCCCGCGAACAGGGGATTGGCACGAACGTTCACGACCCCTCCCACCCCCAGCCGCGGCCGCGGCTGAGGGGAGGCGGGGTCGTGATCATCCGCACGTGGGAGCCCCCATTCGCGGACCCTTCCCGTTTCCTTTCCGCCCCCTCTCCTCCCTTCCCTCTCCCCGTTTTTTTGTCCTGGGTGCGCGGTGTTTCCGACACAAAAGGAAACCAGAAATGGGAGACACATTTAAACATAATGATAAAAAGCGGAAGCGTAAATAAATAAATTATTTATATATATATATATATATATATATTATATATATTATATATATATATATATATATAATATATATATATATATATATTAATATTTTAAAATATTTTTTTAATAATAATATATATATATATAAAAAATAAAAAAAAAAAAAAAAAAAAAAAAAAAAAAAAAAAAAAAAAAAAAAAAAAAAAAAAACGGTAGAGGCGGGGCGAGGGTAGCGGAAGGACACGATATATATAACAAAAAAATCCGGGCGAAAATCCTAATCGGGGCGTTCCTTGTTTCTGGGGGAGGGGGGGCGGAGAGGGGGGGGTCGCATCTTTTCAATCATGTGGTCACATCATGAGGTCTGTACCCCATGCTCCTCCCCGACGAGGCCGCGCCAGTCGCGCCGCCGTCGCCAGGCACAGACCCGCCTGCAACTGCTCTCGCCGCGGCTCACAGCCGCACTACTGAATGCGATCTGGAAAAGAGTTGGCCTAGCTCCTCGGCCCAAGCCGCTTCACACCGCTGCCCTCAGGGACACCCCACTGCGCCCCTCCAAGTTCACGAACCCGCACCGATCCAGGAAGAAATCGATCTTCTCGCCCGCGAGCTGCTTGGTCATCAGGTCGGCAGTGTTTGACTCGCCCGGGGCCTTGACCATCCTCGCTCGCCTTTCGTGACAGATACCCTGCACCCACAAATACTACGTCTGTGGGTGCCTCACATTGCCTGCGCCCAGCCTGAACGCCGTGCTGCACCTGGCTGCCGCATCCGCCTCGATCTCCAAGCACTTCACCAGTCCCAAATCCCCGCGCATGCTCCGCGCGCCGAGCCCCGCGCCGGCGCCGCGCGCGATCGCGTAGAACTCCAGATCGCCGACGGACGTCGCCACAACCGTCTGCGCGTTGGCGCTCGCCTGCAGCAGGTGGCCACCGCGGCGCAGCGCCGGCCCCGTAGCACCGCGCCGCGTGATCACGCAGTCCGCATAATCCGAGCCACGCGCCACTGCCAGGATGTCCGGCTCGACCTGCTGAACGATGCGCTGCGCGACCCTCGGACTGCGCAGCAAGTGGCGCCCGGTGCGCTCGACCATCTCCATGGCCACCTGCGTTGGCTTGCCCCTCCATCTCGCTGCCTCATTCGCCGCTCGTAGCAGGTCGATGTGATCCGTCGCCGGGTAGTTGATCCTCGCGCACGCGCTGCGGCAGAGGGCCGTTTCCGTCGCATTGACCAGGGGCGACCCCAGCAGCTCTTCCGCCGCCCTCGCGACGCCAGGCGACGCGACTCGCTTGCTGCCCTTGCCCGGCCCAAGCCCGAGCTGCGACTGGGCGCTCTGCATGGCGGGAACAACTTCCCACTGTAAACACGGAGCGCTGGTCTGGTCTCGGTTTGCCTGGCGATCCCATTGAGCAGCGATCTCTCGCATGTCGATGGGGCCCCAGCCGCGCGCCCCTCGCGCGTTCACCAGCAGGCGCTTGGACTGCTCGACCTTGAACCACTCCAACGCCTCGCCCTCGCCCTCCGCCACGCAAACGCCCCCGCGGTAGAAGAGCAGGATGCCTCTGCCGTCGCGCCTGCACAAGCATGGGCAGAATGCGCCGATCGCGAAGCCCATCTCGTGCAGCACCCCCCACCACCTCGTCAGCAAAATTGGCCGCCGCGTCTCTTGCGCCGCACATGCTCTTCGGGGCTCTTCTGACCCGGGTAAATCCAGACCGGGGTTAGTCAAGCCTTGCAGACACCTGCAAGATCCTGCAAGATCCTCCACCCACGCCCGGGTCAATGCGAAGGACCCTGCAAGATCCTGCAGGGCCCTGCGCCCAAACCCGTGCCAATGCGACCCTGGCCCAGCAGGATCCCGCGAGATCCGGCGCTCTGGCCGACCCTCGTTGGCATTGACCCCCGCCTCTTGAGCCCTGAGCTCTCGAGGAGCAACGCGCACCGGCCCGGCGCGCGCCGCTTGGTCGGGAGTTGGAGAAACACCAGACGGCGGCGGCGCGCTGGGCCGTGGAAGTGCGCTCTGCCGATGTCTATGAACATCGCCGTTCTCCGCCTGCAGTCGCCGCGCTTCCTGCGCATCATCCTGCTGCAAGGCACCTTGGCACCCTCCTGCGGCGGTGCGGCCGAGAACGCGTCGTCTCTGAAGACACCGGCCCTTGGCCACGCCCTCTTCAGCTCCAACCCGACAAGCCTGCATCTGATCTCTGGGCGAGCGTCGTCGCCCTTGTTGACGTCCCACCACTCGCTCTGGATGGGCGCCGCCCCCGCCTCCTCCCAGCAGAGGGGGCCTCCTCGCGCACCGTCATCGCCCATGCGCCGCAGCTCTCCTCCCGGCCTGCACGGGCCAGCTTGGTGTCCAGTAGCTGGACGGACAGGTTGTCCCTGAACTCCCCGTAGTCCCCCATGTCCTGATTCACTTATTCTTCCTCGCAGGTCGCGCCCAAGGCCAGCTCGCCCAAGCCGCAGTCGACCGCCATCTGCGCCTTCAGGCCTCTCGAGACAGCTGCTGCCAGCTGGCGGATGGTTCTGCGCCCCCCTCGTCTTCGCCCCCCCCCCCCCCCCGCCAGCGGAACGCGCTGACGCCGCGGGCTGCGAGGAAGCATCTCGCCCTCGCACCTCCTCGACACTTCGGCCAGGATGCGCTCGGAGTTGCTTGTCCAGCCGGTGGGCTTGAGAACCGGGCCCCTCGTCTCGCCATCGAAATCCACCGTCTGTTGGCCGCAGCAGCACTGATGTCCCACAACTCGCGAAACACCTGGCCACTGCGCGAGCTCCAGCATGAAGTCCAACTTCCAGCTCCATGCTCGGTCTGGGTGCCCACGGAGGAGGCATCTTCCTGCATGACGCACTGCTGCACGCAGAACTTCAGGCGCACGAATGTCAATAGCCGCCCGCTTCTGACCGCGGCGCTCTTCCGCAATCCTCACGCGCTTGCGCGCGTCCACGTCGCCCCCCATCAGCCTCGCGGCCCTGGCCCTGCACTCCGCGCTGCGACTGCGCGCCGGGGGGCCAGCTGCATAGCTCTCGCACCCGACGCGCCCCGAAGTGCGGCAGGCCTTCTCGATCTCGAACTCGCTGCGCACGCGCGCGCGCCGCGGGCCGAAGACGCCGCCCGGGCCA